GAACGAATGTTCTGGCACGGTGGCCAGCGGCGCGGGCGAGAACGGCGGGGCGACGGAGGGCCGCCCCTCCTTCCGCGGCGCCATAATCAAGGTGCGCGCGCAGCGGAGCGGCATCGGCGCCTTGCAATGCCCCGTCGCCGAGGTCATTCTGTTCAGTCGCTGCGCCGACGTCTCGTCCTGACTTACTGGCTCCGCTTCCCGCGGCGACCGCGTGCGGGAGGACACGCTGCAGGGGCACGACGCAAGCACCAAGGCGTCCCTCGAATGCGCCTTGGGCGGCGCCCTGCCCGACGCTGCCTGGTGGGAGGCCTCCGCGGGCGCCGCTCACGGGGCGCTCGTGCTCCGAGCTGCTGACGAGACGGCGCTGCTGGCTTTCCTCGGCTCTCGGGCGGCCTGTCGACCTCTCGTCGAGTTCTTCCTGCAGAGGACCGCTGCCGCGCGCCTCTGCGACGCCGACGTGCTCCTGGGGCGCTGTGACCAGGGGGCCAGTGACGTGTTGGCGAGGTTCGCTGCGTCTTTGTCGTTCGACAGAGATGACGAGGTGCGGGGGAGTTTCCTCGATCGAGGGCATGCAGGAAGCCCGGGATCAACTCGCGCGCGACGAGGGCATGCGGGAAGCCCGGGATCGAGGGCACGCGGGAAGCCCAGGTCGGGCGCCGACGAGCAGCGGCATCGCTTCACGCTCGGCGCGAGGGTCTTGGACGCCGTCGGCGCTGAGGGTCTTAAGCGCCCCTAGTCAGCGCGTGGGGGGGAGACTTCCCAGACGCACCCCTGCTTCTTAGACGGCGCGGGCTTCGTGTATATATGTATATGTAGGGCCGCTGCCTTTAAAGAAGCAGTCTCCTTGTAAGAATCCTTCTCCCCTCCTCCTACCCCCCTCCTGCGCGCCGCCAGCCCAGGGCCGCCGCTCGGGGCCCGCGGGCCAGGGGCGTCTGATGGCCATCGCCGACGCTGGCACCGACCACAGCCGGATGCACTGAGGCGAGGCGCGTTCGTCTTGGCGCCGCCAGCCCCCGAACCCATGCTGTGCACTTCTTGGACGCAGCCCGAGCCCACGTCTCAACTTGCTGCGCCGGGGAGGCGGCGGTCGGCCACAATTCGGTCGAGGAGGAATTGTACCGCTTCGGCGTGATGGGCGATCTTCGTAGCGAGCTGGAGCCGGAGAGCCACGCTCGCTCACGTCCATTCGACGGACCTGCAGACGTGCTTACCGCTGCCGCTGGCCGCCTGTCGGCATTGGACGTGGGAGCTACGAGTTTCGCCACCACGCTTGCGCCAAGCGGTGATGCTGCCGACTCTATGTGGCAGCGGAGAGCCTGGGAACGGGAGGGCGCGCGCGTCGAGCTCGAGGAGCTCGGGTTCGTCTACATCCCAGCAGTGTGGACGAACCAAAGACGCCCGCACCCGCACGGCGGCGGCTGCCGCGCAGGCGATTGCCCGGGCCGCAACGCGGCGCCGCGCAGGCGCCGCCCGCGCGATGGATGGAACGCTGCGGGAGCGGATCGGCGCGGCGCTGGCCCGGCGGATCGCGCGCATGAGTTTGGCCACCGTTGCCTGGCACGATGAGGGCGCCGCCGAGCCAGGAACGTGTGTTTGAAACTGGCGCGAATCTGCAGCTTTCGACGTCACTGCCGACGCGGTGTTCGGGCGTCCGCGGCGCTTGGAAAGCCTGGCGGGTGAACGGACGCTGCAAGTAGCAGGCGTGTCCTTCCCCGCCACATCCCGTCTCCCCTTCCTTTCCATTCCTGCTTCTCCTCCTCCTCCTCCTCCTCCTTCTCGTCATCCTCCTCCTCCTCCTCCTCCTCGTCCTCCCCCTCCTCATACTCCTCGTTCTCCTCCTCTTCCTCCTCCTCCTCCTCCTCGTTTTCGTCCTGCTCCTCCTCCTTCTCCCCCCCTTTCTTGGGCCCGCGGGATGCCAACCGACGTGTATGTTCGATGGCCGGAGCCCCCTTCTGGGTTGTCAAGGTCCGCGGGCGGACGGTGGTGCATCTCTAAGCACGCGTAGGGGGCATCAGTGGACGTTGCGACTTTTATAGGGAAGGCTTGTGGTTTGCCGAACGCCCCTTGTGGCCATAAACGCTGACGGTGTACAAAGTCCCGCGTGGGGCTATGTCAACCCATGGACGAATTGTGGGGAACGACGCACGTATGTGTTCATGAGCCATCGTGTCCCGCGCTTGACCCAAGCAAATTGGGCGTACAGGGTCGCGCCATACACTGCCCATCCAGCAGTCAGTGGGAGATACCCAAATTCGTTCATGTCAAGGATTGGCTTGACGTTGATTGTAAGGATCCTGTCTAATGGGAAAGATGAAACGATAGTCTGCATGTCGGTCTGGATTTCTCGGGCATGGAGCAGCGGTCGCAATGTACTGTCGTTGGAGTCGCCAGCGCATGTGAGCTTGCAGCTCAGCGTCGGTACGACTTGTGGTTTGTTCATGGCGCTGTTTGTGATTCGTCGCGCTTGAAAGAAGGTACGGTGTAACATTGGGTTTCGATATGACAGGCCCGTTGGGCATTTCCAGGCGAGTTGTACCTCAGGAGAATCAAGAAGGTATGACAAGACGGAATAGTGACGAGGAGTGAACAGGACGATGGATGACGGTGGTGATGCTAGCGATGATGATGGTGTTTGGAGCGATAACGATGATTATGATGATGGTGATAATGATGTGGATGTTGATGTTGACGTTGTTGTTGAGGGTAGCAGTTACGTTAATGATGACAATGTTGTTGCTGTTGTTGATGATAATGCGGCTGACGATTATAATGAGGAGGATGCTGTTGATTATGATTGTAATGATGATGATGGTGGCGATGATGATGATGATTGCTACATGGTGATGGCGATGATGATGGTGATGATCACGGTGCTCATTGTGATGATGCTGGTGCTGATTGTGATGATGATGGTGATGATGATGCTTAGGATGATGTTGGTGACGAGGATGATACTGATGACGATGATGATGGTTATGCTGCACATCATGATGACGATGATTATGATGACGATGATGACGATGATGTTGGTGATGCTGATGTTGACGCTGATGATGATGCTGATGCTGATGATGCTGCAGGTGATCATGATGATGATAACGATGATGATGATGATGATGATGATGATGATGATGATGATGATGATGATGATGATGATGGTGATGGTGATGGTGATGGTGATGGTGATGATGATGATGATGATGCTGCTGCTGATGATCATGATGATGATGATGATGATGATGATGATGCTGCTGCTGATGATGATGATGATGGATAGGATTCCGATTCTGATGTTGGTTATGCTGATGACGATGATGATGTTGCTGTTGACGATGACGATGATGACGATGACGATGACGATGATGATGATGACGATGATGATGCTGATGATGATGATGATGATGATGATGATGCTGATCATGATGCTGATGATGCTGATGATGCTGCTGCTGGTGATGATGAGTATTATGATGATTATGATGCGGATGGTGGTGATGATGATACTGATACTGATACTGATACTGATACTGATACTGATACTGATACTGATGATGATTAGGAGGAGGAGGATGAGGATGGTCGGACGCATAATGAGGGGGTGGGGGGAGGGACTTGCAGCATTCAGACCTAAGGGGGCAAGGGAGCGGCCGAGTAGACACTTCATGGGCACATAAATATTGCTAAGCTATCAGCAGGTTATATCAGTTGCGCCCCTGTACGGTCTGTGTTTCTCCGAAGGAAATCTGCATAAACATGTTTTCGGAGGGCCACGTTGTTTGTTAGTTGAGTTGGCGCCGGACACCCGTCCCCTGTCGCGCGAAGCGCGCCAGAAGCGGCTCCGGAGGCCATGTCAGGGGGGCCCAACGGTGACCCAATAATTCCGCGTGGACCTTCGAAAGGTCATGCATATGCCGTATGATCGCTGTCACGAGGGGATGGGGCGGAGGGGCGCTGATCACCCCGCTGCATAAACCTCTTAGCGCTCCTGGAGCGAGGTAGGCCCACAGGAATGCTCAACGTGCAAGTGCGACCTTTGACCCTCGCGAGCCCCAGCGAGTGACTGGAGCTTGCTGGGACATGCCTGCTCGCGTGGTTGCGGAGCCTGAGAAAAGACCAGCTGGCCGACACGAAGGATGGGGGAAGCAAGCGGGGGAGCAGGCAAGGAGGAGGAGGGGAACAATGGTCAGGCGATCGCAAACGTGGATCAAGGAAGGGGGCGTGGATTAGCGACGGGTCTCGTTTTCATGGGAATCGCGGGTTTCCGCCGCCGATCGAGACGGTATCGGCCCCATTTTGGGGAGGGCACATTCTCCGATCCACGGATTTGGCGACTGCGCGCCAAAGCCATGGATCGCCAATCCATGTTTGCGCGCCCCCGAAATGGAGAGGGGGGGTGAGAAAGATGAGGAGGAGGAGGAGGAGGAGGAGGAGGAGGAAGAGGAGTGGGGGAGCCGGTCGAAGGGCCTCCTGGCGAGGTGCATGCCTGCATACTTATGAAATAAGCTAGACGAGTGTCCTTTTGTCGATTGACTGGGTTATCCCGTCATTGTGTCACGTGTCATTGCCAGTGATCCTGCATAGGCGTCGTTCGTGTGAGAAGAATTTGAATGGGCGTCGTAGTGAATGATGCGCGCGTGGATGTCGACGGGGACGGGGATGGGAGGGGAGGGGCCAGGAAGGGCGCTGTGGTCGGCGAGGTGTCCCTTTGCACGGCACGGACCACCGCACGCGCAGGCGACGAGCCTGCGAGCGCAACCGAGTCCTTGAGATGAGGACCGATGGGCTCGGGAGGGGCCTCCGGGCCGTGCCCCAGATCTGGGCCAGGAATGCGTTCGCTGCCGAGGCTCGCCGTGGCCGGAGGAGCCCCATTCGCTCCCCCCCGATGTACGCTCTTTGCACCAGCACTGCGACTGCAGGGCGCGCGCGACGGGGCTGGGCGGGTCTTGGCGAGCTGCATCGGGAGGCGCCGCCGCGAGCGAGACGCAGCACCCGCGCCGGAGGCATCGGCCCGAGAGCACCTCCCAGACGGCCCGAAGCAGCGCTCCCTCGCCGCCCCCCGCAGCCCGACTCCAGCGATGCAGCAGTACATGACGCAGGAGCAGTACGCCGCGGCCCTGCAGCAGCAGCAGCTGCAGCAGCAGCTGCAGCAGCAGCAGCTGCAGCAGCAGCTGCAGCAGCAGCAGCTGCAGCAGCAGCAGCAGCAGCAGTACGCGCAGTACCCGCCGCAATACTCGCAGCAGCAGTACGTGCAACAGGCGCCGCCCCCCCAGACGCTGACCGTGACGCTGCCCGCCGACGCCCTCCCAGGGAAGACGTACCAGGTGCAGGCGGCGGACGGCCGGCTCGTCAGCTTCCAGGTGCCGGCCGGGTGCGGGCCGGGCAGCCAGGTATCGCGAGCGGCGAACATATCCGTGTGCGCGCCTTCGCGGCCTGGATTCCGGGGGGCGCGATCCTGCGGATACGCGGTCGCGCGGATCCGTCCCGAGCGATTCATCCGCGGAAGCGGCGCCACAGATCAGTGGGGTCGCGGCCCACAGGGGCCTGGCCCGCGAGGCCGCGGATACGGATATGACGAGGGGGTCGGGTGCCGTTATGTCATGTCCCCAAACCTTTTCTGGCGGACTTCCAGGGAGGATTCATTGAACCCACCCTGAGCCAAGGTAGTCTGGGGAAAGGTATTTTGGGGTTATATTGTAGACTACCCTTCCTGGCTGGGGAAGGGTCCTGACATGTGTCCTGCTGGTGCCTGGGGCCGTATCTCTGAGTCGACCCGTTGTTTAGAGCCCAGATCTGCTGGGAACGAGGATGGCACAACATCCCGATACCCTCCTCGGATACGTTTTTCGCCCACGGAGGTACAGGTGAGCTGCTGAGCCCGCGGCCTCGGCTTGAGCCGGGTGGGGGCGTTTCGGAGGGGGCCAGGACGAGGATAGTTCCGTTCCAGAGCGTTCCAGAACGCTGTCAGAGCGTTCCGGAACGCTCGGAGAAGTCCGCGGCGCCCGAGACATCCTCTTGAGCCGCCGGATCTCCGAGATTCTCGATTCATCCTCGCCCGGATTTGTCCTCGTCCTGTCCTCGTCTTTTTTTCTCGCCCACGGAGGTACAGGTGAGCTGCTAAGTCCGCTGTCTCGGCTTAGGCAGGGTGGGGGCTTTGTTCGGCCATGCGCAGAGTGGGTAGGGTAGGGGTGGAAGGCCTCTTAGAAGCACACCCCTGCCTCTCAGAAGTTACCGGCCTTATCTAGAAATGTAAGGCCAGCGCATTCTAAGAAACAGCCTCCTTCTATCGGGACGTGTGAAATGCGTACGGAAAGAACGGGTACAAAGGCAGTTCACTTTGGACGGGGCTCGCCGTCGGCGTCGACGCGGGCCCTGCCCATTCGAGACAGAAGGCCGCCCGCCCAACAGCGGCCGCTGCCGGCTCTGGACAGCAGCATCCGTTCTTGGGCATCGTGCCCATCGCTGCCGCGCCCGCTTCGGGCGTCCGGATTCCAAGAAGCCTTCCCCCCACCCCTGCCACTGGAGGCCGCGCGGGGGCTTTCTCCTCCTCCTCCTCCTCCTCCTCCTCCTCCTCCTCCTCCTCGCCTCTCCCTCCTCCCCCTCCTCCCCCTCCTCCTCCTCCTCCTCCTCCTCCTCCTCCTCCTCCCTCCTCCCTTCTGCGCGCCGCCAGCTTGCGGGCGGAGCCCGCCGCCCCTCGGCGGGTCGGCGGGAGCGTACGCCGGCGGCCGCGCGGCGCGGCCTGTCTGCCCTGCTGGCGCCGCGGGAGGTCTTCTGGGCACAGCAGAGAGCCACAGCCACAGCGAGGGTGGATATTTTCGGTTGGGAGGGCCCCCCCCTTCTCGGGGGAGGAAGAGGTGCCCCTGCCTCTGCCCTTCCCTCGTTTTCCTCGTTCGGGGGCCTCCTGGGCGGCCTCTGTCGCCACCGCCGGATTCGCCCCGCAATCCTGGTCAGAGGGCACCCTGGGAGAGGTCCCAGGAGTACAGCGGCATCGGCACCTTTCGGTCCCCCCACCCTCGGGGGAGAACCCATCCTCGGGGGGAGCACCCACCGACCTCGAGGCTGATGTCTTCGTTGTCGAGCTTGAGCCCACCGGCGGTCGGAGCTTGAATCTAATATCTTCCTTGTCGAGGCTACAGCCTCCACGCCATGCCCTTTTGGGTAAGGGCGCGCTTCCGAGAGGATCGCGCACGACTCTGGCGTTCGCTTCGCTTCGCTTCTTCGCTTCACCGACCTCGACACGACCAGTTTGGTTGTGGCTGTGGTCGGTTTGGCCCTCCTCGCACGCCACATCGACCTCGACCAGTACGAAGCCGGATTTGGTGGTCCGGCATTTCTTGGGAATGCGCAGGCTACCCCCTCGATGTGGTTCTGGTCGCTTGCTGTTCCTGCTGGGGTAATAATTGAATTGTCTTTGTGCGCCAGCACCCGCTTGCTCTTGAATCGCCCAAGACCGCGCGGCGTTCAATGTTCTTCGGGGAAAACGCATCGTACACAGCATGCACTATCTTGTCGCTCGGGCAGGCTGTTCCTCCGAGAGGGCTCTCCGCCATTCCTTGCTGCTATAGGAGCCAGCCAGGACCCCGGGTAAGGGAACCTGTGCAGTGGCAGGACCCCGGGGAAGACATACAGGTGAAACATTTGCGCTTGTGCGCGCGTGGGCAAGTTACCTCGGAGCGCTCGGCAACGGCAGTTCTGATCAGTGAGTCTGCCCCAGGGGCGGCCCCGTGCGCTGGCCGGGGGCTCAGTGCCAGACCAGACCAGAATCGTCAAAGCAGGTCTGCCGCGAGTCTCTTTCCGGGTGGCGGCAGTTCCCGTCAGTGCGGGTCGGATGTTCCCAGAAGGGCTCGTTCGGCACGGTTGTCTTCGCCAGACCTGAGGCCCCGCAAGCCCGACCTGAGGCCCCACAGCTGGACCTGAGGCGCCCCAGCAGCCGTCGGAACCACCCGTCTCGTTCCACAGTGAGGGGGGGGGCGCTTTCTCGCGCTGCCGCGTCGCTGCCCTGCCTGGAGCACGTTGGGGCGCGCTCGACGGGGCCGCGGTGCGGCGCCCGAGGGCGGCGCCGCATGCCGCACGCCCCCTCCCCAAACTTTGGAGGCTTAGAGGTTGGCGCCAACACCAACATCGGCAGTGTACCTCCCCTCGTCGGCAAGCGAGGGGGGGAAGCGAGAAGGAGGAGGCCTCCACAGGAGGGGGCTGGACTTCCTTCTCATAAGCCGTTGCGCCTTCTGAGAAGTGTTTTGTGTCTTCGGGGGAGATTTGGACAACTTCTCAGAAGGTCGAGGGACTTCCGAGCCTTCTGAGAAGGCCCGCCCCTTTCCATTTCCCCCTTTCGCTCGCAGCCGATCCACAGAGAGAAGATGATCACGATCTCGGTGATGGTGGTAACCCACTGTCCCCGATAATCAAGCATACCCCCTCATTTAACCCCCTGTATCTTTTCTTTTATCCCGTGTCAATAGGATTTAATTGTGGAGAGGGGCGCGGAGGCTGAACTTGATACTCCCCGGGGGAAGTTGCGGATCGAAGTTGCTATCATCTCATGTTGAATAGCAGCAGCATGAAAAACGCTGAGCATGGCAATGGTAGTCTCACCATTTCAGCTTCTGCAATCACAAACTGTCGCATCATTCCAGCTTCCGCAAACAGAGGCACGCCACCGTCGAGGAGGCAAGCGCCGTCGCCCAGGGTTGCACCAAGTGCCTCCCGTGCAAGGACCGGCTCCAAAGGTCGTGCGCAAGAGAGGTTTTTTGGCCAGGAGCGCCAGGGACCTCGTCTTGCGCATGCAAGCTGTAGCCACGAGCCTCGAGATCTCTCGAGCCAGTCTTGCGCCAAGATCTACAAGGTCAGTCTACACGAGCGCCCAGGATCATCATCATCGTCATCGTCATCATCACCATCACCATCATCACCATCATCATCATCATCATCATCATCATCATCACCTTCGCGAGGGAAATCGTTGATTACCTCCGCCAGACTCTCGAACTTGATTATCCCCTAGGGATTGTTATCGGGAGCGCAGGGTTCATAATCGGGCGTCCTAGGTGGCCCGGAAATTACAACCGACAACATCCAGGATCATCCTCTCCCGGTGGCGGCAATCAATCCCCTTTGTTGGTGTTGGTGCCGATTTCAAGCTTCCCCCAATTGCCCGGGCTTCAGATTCCTGCAGAAGTGTTTTTGGAGTGGGGCACGGGGGACGATCCGAAGAAGGACTCGTTTAACGTACACTTTCCACGGTCCGCGCGGATTTCTTGGATCTGTGTTTGGCCCCCCTTTGCGGCGCGTTCGGCGCCGCACTTGGCGCGCGGAGCGCGCCGGGGGAGGGGAGTCCAGCGCCGATTTGGGAAACCCGCGCGGTCCTGCGAAAGTTCATACTATTGCAAGTGATTTGTTCTTGCGAAGCTGACCAGCAGGCCATTGAGCGATGCTTTCGGACTTGTGGGGGTGGGCTCCCCCCCGGGTACACACCACTAGGCCTTGTCCTACTAGAAACTGGCATTGCCAGCAGTTCGTGCCTCTTGCGTTGCGGCTTTCCTGCCGTCACATTGTCGTTTGCGTATTCTGTCTTGCGGTCGTGCTATCTTGATTGTCCATGTCGTCTCCTGGTTGTCATATCCGAATGTTCCTTTTCCCGTTGTACGCAGTCGCCTGTTTTCGACGATCGAAGTCACGTTTCACCTGTTCCCACTTAATTTCCCCCGTGTCTTTCCTCTGGTTGGATGCTTGTGTCATACATTCGTACCGCTTTCGCCTTCCTGCACCATCGCTCCCCCCCGCTTTCCACGTTTTCGGCTATGCTGTGGTTTTCAGCTGTGTCATGTTTTTTTCATCCAGCTCTTTTGCGTTCCTTCTATCATTTCTTCTTTTGCGGTTCGCCTCCCGTCCACTCGTGTCTCCTCCTCACCTTGCCAGGCCACCCCTTGTTGAGGGAAATTCGTTGCACACCATTTTGCTGTTTTCGCCCCGCTGAGTCAAGCTCCCATGTTTATCACGCGCCCTGCAATACATGCGAACCATCCTTAGCACTGTTTGCTTTCATCACGTACGTCGCACACGCCATGCCGGCAGCGAGCCGAAGAGGGCCATGCCGGCAAGAGCCGAAGCCATGCCGGCAGAGAGCCGAAGAGACGCGAGTATCATGCGCAGACGAGCATCATGGCACAGCTCCTTTGCAGCCTGGGAAGGGGCTCTGGGTCGACGTAGGCAGTGAGGGAGCGATGCTGCGAAGCAACAAGGGACGCGGAACGCACTCGCGCTCCAGAGCGCACGCCAGCGCATGCTCGCAAGCTTGGGCGCGCCTTGCGGCCACTGCGCACGGTGTTTGAGCACGCCCGTCCCCGATCGGGAGAGCCGCGGCTACCCGCCGCGGTGCGAGTTGCAGGAGCATGCGAAGCGGGTCAAGGTAGCCACGGCTGGGCAAACAGGCCGACGTGCGCAAACATACAGTCAACCCGCATAGCAAGGGTGGTCGACTTCCCAATTGTAACCTTGCATCCTTTTCTGTTCGGTCATTTTCGGTCCATCCTCGACCCCTTTCGATGGCCAGTCCCGCTCGAAGAACCTCGGCATGAGCGCCCAAGGCTCTTGCATCCTTGCCGCGCATCCTCACCATACGGGTTGACTGTAGGCGCACACGCGCACATGTGCGCGTGCTTGACCACATCTGGGATGACAAGGAGCGGGGACACGGGCACGCTCTCCAGGAAGGAATGTGCGGGCGTCGAGCAGGGAGGCCTCCACTCGACCGTGACCGATCCTTCGGGGAGGAGGAGGAGGAGGAAAAAAGGGACGATCCAGGAGTAGGGGATCCAGGAGTAGGAAAGGAGGAGGAGGAAGAGGAAGAGGAAAAGGAAGGAAGGAAGGAAGGAGGAGAAGGAAAATGGAGGATCCAGGAGTAGGGAGGGGTTGGATGTGCACCCGTGCAAGCGGAAAGCCGACTCTCATGAGTTGGCCTGAAAGCGCTCCGTGGTGCATGCACAGTTAAAGCCGAAGCCAAAGCCGTCATGCACAGAAAATCCAGAAGGCCCGCTCAGCAGGAGGTCTGGTTGCCAGCACCACTAGAGCATCAGCCAGACAAGTCGAGGTTGCACCCTTGTGCCTTGCGAGGAGGGATGAGTAAAGGAAACCATCCCTGTGCGTCCGGTCGGCGTGATTTCGAGTCGTCTCGGCTGCGCCGCGAACGTGTGCGCATAGAGAGCCCTAGCACGTGTACTCATAGAGAGGTTGCGACCTCCGCGCTCCGGCCCAAGGAGGCAAGGACCATGTCCTGATGAGAGTGCGACTGCGAATGCGAATGCGAATGCGAATGCGAGTGCGGCTCCGCCGCGGCTCACCCCAGAGGGTCCAGAGGTCTTTGGAGGCCTGCCAGGGGCCTCTGGAGGCCTCTCTGGGGACCTCCCGGGGCCCAAGGAGGCCCACAACGGCAAGGAGGCGGGCGAAAACACCGCAACATCGGGCAGGCCCAGGACCAGGATACATCGTTCCAGGACTTCCCGGAACGTTCTCAGAGCGTTCTGGAGCGCTCAGGGAAGGCCGCGGCGCCCGATGCATCCTCCAGAACTGCCAGATCGATCCCCAATCCATCCCAGTCCGATGCTGTCTCCGCCCTGGTTTCGTCTTGAAGCACGTAGGTCACCCGCGGGGGCGGAAAGACAGCCGCGCTTCGCGCGCCGCGGTCCTTTTGCGTTCCTTCCCTCCGCGTCGTGCCTCAGGGTCGCGGCCTCTGAGCCAGGCTGGGCTGCCAGGTGAGCGTTTTTTTGTCTCGGCGTGTCGACATTGGGAAAAGGGGGGGGGGACGGGGGAGGGGGTCTGGCTCCGAGCCTCTGCTTAGTACGACTGTTTGCAGCAGTGCGTCCATTATGGGGGAGGCTCCACCCGCTCGAAACAGGCGCCAAAAACAGCCAAGATCTACTCCAGGGGGGGTGAGGGGGGGGGGGCAAGGGCCAGCGCCGATCGGCAAAACAACGAATCAAAAAAACTACCACCAGGGGAGAGGACCGCGCGGCGTCCGCCGACCAGCCCCCCCGAGCCCTGGCCGGGCCGATCCTGGGCCGAGGGCCGCTGCCTCCTTCGGAGGCGATTGCGGGGGCGAAGAATTTTAGAGGCGTGCAGTACACGCACTCGCACGGGAGCCTCGCCCGAAGACATGGACCATCGGCGCCCTTGGATACGCTTGCTGGAGGAGGAGGGGGAGGAGGGGGCCACCATCGGGCGCGTTGCTCCCCCCTGGGCGATTCGCCCCCGTCGGCGCCCCATTTTGTCTAGTCCTTGGTGGCCTGGCCAGAGAGGCGTAGGCACCGATCTTGGGCCCAAGGGGGGGGGGGGCAGGCCGTGATCAGGGAGGTGGTTCCTGGGCGGAAGGGGTATCCGTATCCACGGCCTCGCGGGCTGGGCCCTTGAGCCAGGCCCCCGGGATGCGGGGCGTTTTTGCGCGGATGCCCCAGGGTGTTTTGACGCGGACGTCCCGCACGGAACCTGTCTATGCGACCGCGTATCCACAGGATCTTTTCGTGGAGCCCAGACCGCGAGGGCGTGGATAAGATACGTTCGCCGCCCAGGAGTGGTCAGTTGACCTCGCCCGAGGGGGAGGAGCCATGGCGGTGAGGAGCAGTGGCCGCCGCCGCGGCCAGCTCTCCCGAGCATCTGCGTCCGGCAGCGCCGGCTGGGTCCTGAGCGTGGTCGCCACGGCGGGAGGGGCGGCGGCAGGCGCTTGGCGAGCGGTCGCTGGCGACGCAGAATGCTAAACCTCCTCTGGTGGTCGCTACGAAGCCATCGGCGCGTTCACTTTGGACTCTTTCTCAGTCTGTTACCTGCCCAGATCTTCATCCAATTGTTTGTCGTTGTATTGCGTTCGGCTTTTCATGTGCAGATGCTGGTTTGTGCGCGGTTGCCCTTTCTCTTGCTTCGTGGCAGTGGCTGTTGTCGACAGCCCGCCGTGCCGTGCCGTGTTGTGCTGTGCTTGAAAATGTGCCTTGCTGTGCCGTGCCGTGTCTGTCTTGCAAGAGCACCCAAGTCTTCCGAGACACATTCGTGTTCCTTGCCGTGTCGTGCCTGGTATGCAGACCGCGAAAACTCCGCCGTGCGCCTTGCCGTGCCGTGATTGGCCTGGCCTGGAGCGTTGCTTCCGCACACTTAGCTCGGATTCGCCGTGCACAAAACCGGCCTGTAGTTGCGATCTTTCTGACGTCCTTCGTCCATTCTTGCCGGGGGTGGGTCATGGGGCCTCCAGTGGAGGGCTGGGCCCGCAAGGGCCGTGGTTCGGCCGAAGGCGTGGTTCAGTCTTGCTTGGCAACGTACCCGGGGACGAGGCCTCCTCTCTCACCCCCTTCCCCCTTCACCCCCCGATACCCTCTTCCCTGCTCTCCCTCTCCTCCCTCTCGTGATGCTTCCTTCCCGGCCCATTCGTTCCCCTCTCCTTCCCCCCTTGCCCTCCCCCCTTTACCCTCGCCCCCCTCGCTTCCGCTCTCTGCCTCCCCTCCTGCCCTGCCTCTCGGTCCTCTCTCTTTCCTGTCCCCTTCGTTTCTGGCTCTTTGCGCCCTCGTTTCGCCTAGATGTGAGCACAGTGGGCCCTAGTGTATGATTTGTATTGTACAGTTCCAGTGTGCACCACATGCGCCCGGACCAGTCTCCCCAGTCAACACCAGTGTGCACCACTTGGTCGGCGTTCCCAATGTGCACCACCCGCCGTCCCCAGCGTGCGCCACCCGCATCGTGCATCACCCCGTCCCCCAGTGCACACCACCCTTTGTGTTCACCACTCTGGCTTGGGCAGCCTGCAATCCATGGCAGTTCTGGCTGAAACAGCGCGACTGGCTCAATCCGTGGGACATGCTCACCCCGAGAGACAGGCAGGCGCGTCCGTGTCTTGTTTCCCTCCCTTCCGCTTCCTGTTCGTCTTCACCCCTCTTCCCCATCCTTCCCTCCTTCCCCCTCTCTCCCGCTTCCATTCCCCTCCGTTTCCCCTCCCTCTCCCTCCTCTGCCCGTTCCCCTTTGTGTTGTCTCTCCGCCTTCCCTCCCTCCCCCCGTTCCTTTCTGCCAGGCCCAGCGCTAGCTCAAAACTAACTCTCTCAATCTAGGCGGTTCGGGGCGCATTTGATTCATGGTGTTTTTCTCATGACAGCGCCAGCACAAACCCGCACTTCGGGCGACGACGCCGCGCGCCGCGCTGCGAGGGCAACCGCGTTGAATTCCCCACCGCGCGGTCAGCGACGCCCGCATTTTTGATTTATTACGGCGCCCGCGCTGTGGTCTCTGATTCTACAAATTTCCCATGGCGCGTCGTGCATCGTTCTCAAAGCAGAGATCCCCCCCTTTCGTCGCGCGAAAGCGTTTCACTCCTGCTATCTCTTCTGGCGAGAGCTTGCGCCATCAAGCGTCGCGCTGTTGCGAATTCCGCGGGTTTGCGCGGGAAGCGTTCGCGCGCCGCCCCGCGAACGAGGCGACGGAACATTCGGTTCGCGCTTGCGCAGGCACTCGCCCGCGAACAAAAAGGCGCGGCGACTGCCCGGGTCGCCCCGTAGGCGCGCAGGGAAACCTCAAGGCGCGATGTGCGGTGACACATGGGTCGCGCAAGTAGGCTACGCCCGAATTGTTTTTTTAGGTGATTGTAAACATTCGAAATTACCCGGCGATGTAGCTGCGACGACAAATGGGGTCCGAGTAGATGGGGTCGGCGGACTGCGCCGTGTCGCCGATGTGTCGCCGACGCGAGCCGATGTGAAACCCGAGTTTCTCCGCGCCGACGTCGCCGATGCGATTCGTTGTCGAACCTGAGTTTCTCCACGCCGGCGTCGCCGGTGCATCGCCAACGTCGCCAATACAACGCCGATGCATGGGCGATGTGTCGGCGATGCGGCACGACCCTCCGACCCAATCTATTCCTACCCCATACGGGAGGCCTCCAAGAATGCATAATCAATTCATACCTCTTGGCGCATTGTTTTTGTCAGTGTCGGCCCCCAGGGCCTTTCATCGGGGCCCTAGGAGTGGTCAAAAGCATGGTCGGGACGGATCTGGGTCTTCCTTGGGGCAGGGGTCGGCGAAGAGCGGGGGTTGACCAAAGGGCGGGTCCACGTCCTGGCGGGGCTCCGATACCCCTCCAGATTTCATGGCGCATCCTGTCATTCCAATGCGTCCCCAGCCCCTCTTCTGGGCCGCCCGTGGCGAACAAAACAATCGGCATAAGCAGACATTTTGTCGGAGGTTCGCGCGGATTTCTGGGATCGGCGCCCGGGCCTCCTGGCGACGCTTCTGGCGCCACCCCTGGCGTGCTTCGCGCGCCTGGGCAAGGGTCTGCAAGCCCAGATCCACGACCCCGATTCGGGAAGTGGCCGAATTTCTGTCGGGGGGCGCGCGGGCCGTACGCCCCCTGCTGGCGGACGGGTGGCCCGTGCTGTTCGGGGACCCGCCCGGATGCTGGGCCACGGCGGGCGCACCTCTGGGGCACCCACGAGCACTCCTCGTCCACGCGCAGGGGGCGGCATGGGGGGGGAGGGGGGGGAGATCTTTTCAAGAGATGCCCGTGCTTCTTGGACGGCGCGGGCCTGTCTTGTTGATGTAAGGCGTGCGCCCTCTAAGAAGCAGGCTCCTAAGAAGCCCCTCCCCTTCCCCATGCCTCCTTCTCCGCGTGGCCAAAACCCCCGAGACCCCAATCCGTGCGAATGTCATCATTTCATACATATATGGAGAGATGGACTTTCTCAAGGGGAGAAACAGGACAGGATACCGATACATTTCGCCCGTTGTCCTCTTTTCCGGCCTCCTGGGAGGCCCTCGTCGCCACCCTTGGATTGGCATCGAAGTCCTCTTCAGAACGAACCCGGGAGAGGTCAGGGGACTAGCGGTATTGGTACTTTTTGGTTTCCCCAATGTCTGGAAATTCGCCGTGTCGGCTCGCGGAAAGCCGGGACGACCCACCAGGGTCCGAGTCATGCTTGTAATAGGTGCCACGGAGAGGGGGTGGGACGACTTACCGGGGGTTTCTCTATCCGTCCGTCGTGTGTGTGTGCTTTTTGGCCGCCTCCTTCCCCACCGTGCAGTTCGGCGAAGGGCGCTGGTGTTCCGAACAAGGACGCTGGCATAGCCATACATTTCTCTGAGCTCCGCGCGCATTTCTTGGATTGGCGTTGAGCCCCCCTGGCGGCGCCTCCAGCGCAGCCCCTGGCGCGCCCTGTGTGCCAGGGAGGGGAGTCCAGCGCCGATCCGAGAAACCCGTGCGAACCCTAGATGAATCATGTTTATAGTGTTTGTTGTTCCTCCATTGTCGGCAAAGGGCACCCTTTTCATGGCCCATCTCGATTCGATCAATCCAATTCGATCGGAATGTTGCCCCGTTCGGTCCGATTCGATTCCGATGCTCTGACGATCGATCGTGGTCCGCCCAAGACTTGGATGGCGCAGTTGCGCATCCTGGCGCGGCAGATCAGATCCGACTCCGACCCTGTGCCGATGCAGGCCGATTGGGTGCACATGCTGATTCGATCCGATTCCCGATTCGATTCTGACTGATCCCCAGACATGCGACGTCCTGATTTTTTCAGGACGGCGTCCCTGGAAGTTCCGACACTTTTCCCGGGACCGGTTTTTCGCCCTGAGTCATTTTTGACGGTCCCGAGGCCCGGCGAGGGCCTCCCAGGGCCGAAAATAGCAATCAATTTCCCGTCCTACGCGATCATGTCTGGGTCCTGCCCTTTTGCAGCGCAGAGCCCCAGGTCAGACTGGGCCGGGAGCTCGCAGGCCGCGCCCTGGTCCTGAACAAGGGACCGCTCGTGGCGCAGCGCCTGGCCCCTGGCGCGCGGACGTCGTTCAGCCGCGACACGCTGCCGGTGCTCGGGGAGCAGAACACGGCGTGCATACCCACACATAATCGCTATTTTCGGCCCCGGGGGTGCCTCGCCGTGCCTCTGGACCGTCAACAAAACAGTCAGGACGAAAAGCGGTCTCGGGGAAAGGGTCGTGACTTCCAGGGAAGCCGTCTTGGAAAAATCAGGACGTCGCATGTCTGGGTAAGTGTTGTGTTTGTTAAGAGTTTTTTTGAGGTTCTGAGGGCGAGGAGGTTTTTTTGCCATGTTCTGTCTGCCGGGGCCGTGCTTGACGGACTTCCTCTCGGCCTACCCAGCTCAGACCCCTTGGCCCAAGATGTCAGCGCCTGTGGCTTTCTCGTAGGCCCCAAACGGTTTGGTGACCACACCGCGGGGTGAGTGAGTGGGGATTCGGGGCAACCGCATGGTTTTGGGACGCGGGTCGTTCTCCGAGGACGTCTCGCGCGAGCTGGGCCTCCAGGGTTCCCAAGGCGTGCGGAGACGGACCGCGCGGTGAGATCCTGCAGGATTTCGAGGTCACCGCACGATTTGTTCTAAAACGGTTTTGGGACCTCCAAATCAACACACACACACACACACACACATATTTTTAGAGGTCCGCTCGGACTTTCGCATCGGCGCGGGGTTCCCTCCCCCCCTCCGTGGCGCGCGGAGCGCGCCAGGGGCGATGCCCGGGGCGCCCCCAGGGGGGCCCCCAGCGCCGATCCAGGAAGCCTGCGCGGCGCTCCGAAAGTTTCTGCTCTCATGCCCTGCTTCGTTCCTCTAACCTGCCCTTGCGGCCGCCCTCTGGTGCTCCGCCACCCCTCTTGCTTGCGGGGCAACCGGGGCAACCCGCAGCGCCGCATCCCGGGTTTGCTCCACGCGCGAGCGGATCGCCTCTGCCGCGCCGCGACGAAGAACTGGTTTCGCTCCTCTAGAGGTGCGCGGGCGGAGCCTGGCCGCCCTCCGGACCCTCTCGAGGAGCCTCGGGACGTGTCTTGGCCCAGTGTGTGCGGCGTAAGAATACGGGGTCGACTGCGCCGACATTGGCGCGTAAGCTGCTCGCGCAAGGTCCCGCGTAGGCGCCCTCGTCTCCAATGTAGCATGCCGCGCTGGGTGCCCGCGCAAGTGGCCGCGCAAGGTCGCTGTGCCAGCTTGCGCAAGACCAGTTTGTTGTGCTCATCGCTCGCGTGTGATTGTCGGGTCCGCCGGCAGCACGCGGCCCGTGCCAGCTCTCGCGGCACCGCCCGCGTCATGGTGCGGGGCTTTGGTGGTCAAACGTGTTGGCTTCAGGAGTCGGAGGAGAGCCAGTTGAGACAACGGCGCCTCTCCCGCTCGGCCCGAGGAGGAGGAGGAGGAGGGAGTGAGGGAGGGAGGGAGGGAGGGAGGAGGAGGAGGCGGAGGATTTTCCGAGGCGGATCCAGCCTTTGGCGATGAAAGCCTTCCATGAGGCCCCCAACAAAAGCGAGTAACGCTTGTGAAGTCCGCCGTGGTCTCGAGTGGCCCTCCTTTGGGCTTCGGTGGGCAGACGTACGGGGGGGGGCTCCAGCGGAATCGTGCCGCGCCAGCGGGAGATCGCACAGCCGCCTCAGCTTTTTCACGGGTTGGGCGGCTTCGGGCGGCGACGCCGCGAAACCTCTTTGAAAATTGGCACCCGCGTGTCCTTCGATGGCTCCCCGGACGTCGCGTTCGTTTGGCTTCGGTGGACCAAGATACGTTTGGCTCTCACAATCGGCGGCGCGGCCAGGGGGGGGGAAGACAGAGTGGGCGGGCGTTCTCTGAAGGCTCAGAGGGGGTCCTCCTCCTCCTCCTCCTCGTCCTCCTCCTCCTCCTCCTCCTCCTCGTCGTCCTCCTCCTCCTCCTTTCCAAGGCTTCTCCACAAACAGAGTCGGCTCCTCGTGAGGCGCGAGGGCTTCTGGGAAGCCCCGCCACCATCTGGGCCAGGCCTGCCCCCTCAACCTCCCCCCTGGACTCGCTGTCTTGACACACTTCGGGTTAGGCTCGCGAGCGTGAGGCGTTCAACAAAGTATGTACGGTTGGTCAGCGCCGTGCCGACTTAGCGGCGACCCCGGCATTGGCGTGCAAGGTTGAACGCCGCCAGTGGCCCAGAATCAGCATGCATCGAGCGTTGTCGGGCAGGCGGCAAATGGGGGTCACCCACCTTTGCCACCTGCCCGACGAATGTCTTGCGCGATCGGGGAGCCGCCGATTTTTCCAGGTGGAGCGATCCACACCCGGCGCCACCCCAACAAGGATACTCGCCCCCTGCAGGGGCGACGTGCGCGTCCCGAGACCGCTTATGGTATGAACTCCGTGGCGGGCGCTTTCTGGTCATACTTTTCGGGAAACGGTCTGCTTCAGGACAGACGCACTGAGTGTTCGGCTCGGACGCACGCCTCCAAGGGGGACACATAAGGTACCGCTACCGCTGCCCTGTCCTCGTGTTTGCCCTCTTGGGCCTCCTGGGAGGCTCTTGTCGCCACAGCTGGATTCGCCTCGAGATTCTGGTCAGAACGCGCCCAGGGAGGTCTGGGGAGTAGCAGTATCACCTCCCCTTCGCTTCCCCTGAAAAGTTCGCCGCTTTTCCGAGTCGTGCCTTGGGATCTTGAGGATCTCCTACGGTAGAGGAACACAATTACAGAACATTCCCCCTCCCCCAAAAACTCAAAGTTGGCACGCGCGGGGGAGACTGCCGTCGAAGTGCAACTCATCAGACCCACCACCATCTCTGAACATGAGGCGTTGACATATGAATGTGGCATGAGTGCTCGCTGTTTTTTTCGAGGTCTATGTGTCCTTCTGCGCGGGCCGAACGAAAGGGGGCGATAGGGAAATGGGGGGTTACGAAATCTGCTGCATGCAGCTGGTTTCGGCCCCGCCGCCGGGCCCATTCCTCGATCCATGGGCGCCTCCCGGCCTCGGGAGGCGCGCTGGGAAAATCAGCTGCGTGAGCTGATTCTCTACCCTGCCATTTACTATCCTCCCCTTTCTCCGAGCACAGCGTCCGACTACCACCACCAAGATCGAGAATCATCTACGATGCGGTCTGGTGCAGTTTCGCTTTGGTGAACAGCCCGCAGTCCCCCTCCCGCCGCCAACGGCAAACGGGCTGCCCCCCCCCTCTCTTAAGGACCGAAACAGAATTCACCAAAGCACGCGCGGTGGTGGTGTATAAAATTCTGGTTACCAAGAAGAGCGATGTTTATACACCACCACCAAGAATTGCTGTTTCTGCTCCAGGAACTCCCCATGTCACGGCGCCTGCGAGCTGCGCCGCGCTCCTTTTCGCCGTGGCGTCGCAGCGTCGTCTGGCATGACCCTGCCCCTAACCCTTTGTTGCGGTAAATCACTGTTCTCGGCGGTGGCGGTGTATAACAATTGGCCTCGCACTTTCCTTCCCCCCGCGGTGTCAGCAGCCAGCGCTGATGCCGTCGGGGCGCGAGCCCGCCGCACGCCGGGTTTCCCGGGGAAGCCCGCAGAGGGGCGCCCAGACAAGCTCGCGCGCCCCGCGCGGCTCGGCCTGGGCCGGCGCGGCGGCCCTCCTCCGGGGTCGAGTCGGGCGTGCCCTGCTGCAGTCAGTCGATCGCAAGCATGGATCAGGGGGGGCGTGGATTGGCGACGGGTCCCGTTTCCATGGGGAAATCGCGGACTTCTGTTGGGAGCGATAGTCAGGCGATCGCAAGCATGGATCAGGGGGGGCGTGGATTGGCGATGGGTCCCGTTTCCATGGAAATCGCGAGGGAGCGATAGTCAGGCGATCGCAAGCATGGATCAGTGGGGGCGTGGATTGGCGACGGGTCCCGTTTCCATGGGACATCGCTGATTTCTGTTGGGAGCGATCGTCGGTCGATCGCAAGCATGGATCAGGGGGGCGTGGATTGGCGACGGGTCCCGTTTCCATGGGGAAATCGCGGACTTCTGTTGGGAGCGATAGTCAGGCGATCGCAAGCATGGATCAGGGGGGGCGTGGATTGGCGATGGGTCCCGTTTCCATGGAAATCGCGAGGGAGCGATAGTCAGGCGATCGCAAGCATGGATCAGGGGGGGCGTGGATTGGCGACGGGTCCCGTTTCCATGGGACATCGCTGATTTCTGTTGGGAGCGATCGTCGGTCGATCGCAAGCATGGATCAGGGGGGCGTGGATTGGCGACGGGTCCCGTTTCCATGGGGAAATCGCGGACTTCTGTTTCTGGGAGCGATAGTCAGGCGATCGCAAGCATGGATCAGGGGGGGCGTGGATTGGCGATGGGTCATGGCGCGAGGGAGCGATAGTCAGGCGATCGCAAGCATGGATCAGGGGGGGCGTGGATTGGCGACGGGTCCCGTTTCCATGGGACATCGCTGATTTCTGTTGGGAGCGATCGTCAGTCGATCGCAAGCATGGATCAGGGGGGCGTGGATTGGCGACGGGTCCCGTTTCCATGGGGAAATCGCGGACTTCTGCTGGGAGCGATAGTCAGGCGATCGCAAGCATGGATCAGGGGGGGCGTGGATTGGCGATGGGTCCCGTTTCCATGGAAATCGCGAGGGAGCGATAGTCAGAGAGCATCGCCACAATGATCAGGGGGGCGTGATTGGCAGACGGGTCAACCGTTATCCATAGGACATCGCTGATTTCTTGTTAAGGCAGCGATCGTCAGTCGATCGCAAAGCAAGGGTCAGGGGGGCGTGATTGGACGAACGGTCCGTATATCATGGGGAATCGGCGGACAGTCTGTTGGAGCGATAGTCTGGGAGCGATCATCAAGCATGATCATGGGCGGGATTCTGGCGGCGAGATCCCGTTCCATGAAATAATACCTAACGACCACCCTGCGAATCGCATTCATGATCACAGGGGGTGCGTGGATTCCCCCCGGTACCCTTTTTGTCACATGGGAATTCGACGGAAATCCTGTTGGAGCGATCGTCATCCGTTCGCAAGCAATGATCAGGGAGGTCGTGATGTGGCGACGGTCCCAGTTTCCATGGGAAATCCTGATTCTGTAGGGAAGCGAAGTCAGAAGATAGAGCGATCGCAAGCATGGATCAGGGGGGGCGTGGATT